GAGAGAAGAGGAGGGGATAGGCGCGAGGAGGGGGGGGGGGGAGGGGGGGGGGGGGGGGGGGGGGGGGGGGGGGGGGGGCAGAAACAGTACAGTTCTTCACTACAGACAAGAGTCGCGTAGCAGAACCCTGCCAAAAGCAATAATTGCTAGTTTGCATGCAAATAGAGAAGGCAAAAAATGGGTTCAATCTAAAAAAAAAACAAAAAAAAAACAGTGAGCATTTTGAAGTGCTGCTTCACACAGGCATCCAGCAAAATCAAGTCACACTCTGAAGAAACCGTTTTCCTCAGCCAGAGATAATGTGCCACACTATGGGTTGTCAGATACTTATCAGAGGGAAATTAGCCAAGGAATACTACCCCCACCTAAAAAAAACAAACAGGTCAAGCGTTCCACCTCGCTCCCAAATCAGTGAGATCCTTGGTCATTTCTAAAACGTCCTGGGATATAACAGAAAGAGAATACTGTATTTAAGAGTGGAATGAGTCCTTCTGTTGTGTGGCCACTTAGTGCTGTAGAATGTGTCAGATCTTCAGGGATGATTTGATTAAAACATTTAATTTACTTTGGTTTACAGAGGTCTATTTAAAATACATGACAGATTTAAAAGATTTCCCATCTGAGAAGTTTAACAAAAATGTGTCATTTAACTAGCTTTTTCTTTTACACTTCCCTTTAGCTGACCATTTTAATTTTTCCATTAAAAATTGTTAAAAGTATTGAAGTACTTTCCCCAGCTTAAGGATGAAACATTGCTCAGTTTGTTTGAAAATCCCAACCAGACCAACACAGCAGCACTGGCTCTGCCAACAGAGTGAGTTAGGGGGCAGAACTATCTGTTCATCAACCAATAAAAGACAGGAGGATTTTTCAGGAAACTTGTTTAAAACAGTCACTATTTATGATTCTAGCGGTACAGAAATAACAAACTTCTTCTAAAAACCCCTTTGGCTCAAATATCTGTCCACAAACAGACCCCAAGTGGAATAGTACTGGTTGCATTAAAAGCATAACTGTGCAGAAATGCATTCAATGCCCATCTAGATACAAATCTAACAAAAAGAAACTTGGATTTTTGTTTAAAGGGGTCCTATTATGCTCTTTTACAAAGTCTTGATTTTGTTTTGGGGGTGTACTAGAACATGCTCTCATGCTTGGTGGTTCGAAAAACACATTATTTTTCACATAATTTACATTATTACAACACCTCTCTCCCCAGGCTGGCACAAATGGCTCGATTAGTTCCGGCTTTCGTGAAGGTTCGCCTTCCGAAAAACAAAATGTGTTGTGATGGTTAGCTGTCCCAGTGCGTTGTGATTGGCGAACAGCTTAGACGGTGTTTCAGTACTGCCCCGCCTCTTGCTCTGTCTTTCAACAAAAACTTTTGCGAATCCGGCACTACTCACTCGTGATGTGGAAGCTGTCCTCAGTAAAATGCGCAGCACACAATAGCAAATTGGGGTTATAATGCTC